AGGGGACGAGGCTGAGAGCGCAGGCCCTTAACAAACCTCGCACAACCAGCCACCAGCCGCAGCCTAACCACTGGGCTTTCCCCAAATCCCCTTCCTTCCCTTGGAGCTCAGCTCTTTCGTTTCCTGAAAGTAAAATAATCCCAGTAACTGTGTGAAAACACGCTTGTCCTCCTACACATTCATAGGCTCCCCAGAAGTGGTCCAGCAAAGACAGCCTCGGGGCTAATAGCTCCCAGGCAGCCGAAGGCCACAACCTTGCGTGACAATCTCTCGACTGAGAGATAAGACCATTTCTCTTGAATTCTGAGGTGAATTTTTTATATATGCATGTGAGTCCTCGTTCCATTAGCCTTTGCTTAATTCCCCCTCCCCCATTAATAGCGTTTCAGATATAAGACCTGCCCTCCTCCCCATGTTGTTGTTGTTGAATACCGTGTTGAGGTGTAGCTGACCCTCCAGTGGGTTTTCAGAGGCAGTTAATGGCACAAAGGAGACTGAATGTCCTTCTCCTGCAGAGCAGCAGGCAAATTCGAACCACCTGCTTTTGGGATTGCAGCGATGCTTCTTACCGTTAAGCCACAGGGAGTCTTTAATCTCAATTGTGAAAGGAGGAATGACAATTACCTCCATTCACAGAGTGGAAACGGCTCAGTGAGGGGGCCTGCCACCCCTCCTAGAGTTGAGGACACTGAGCCCGACGAAGTCTCCACAGAATTGGAGCAGGGAGGTGGGACTGGGGGCTCGTATGGATCACACAAATCCCTTGTGGGCACAGGGGGAGCAGTGGTTGAGTCCCTGTGGCAATTTAGGAAAGTGTCTGTCAGTGGACCCAGTAGGTTTTCAAGGTGAGGTTTGGATGGTTGCTGGAAACTCCTCCTGTGAGTGACTTTGCCTGGAAGCAATAGATGTTATCTACCTCTCTAGGCTCAAAAGAAACCAAATACAAAACCAAAAGCAACTCACTGCTATGGCATTAGAGCCAACTCATAGCTGACCCTCTACTGGATTTCTGAGACTGTAAATTACACGAGAGGAAACTGCCCATCTTTCTCCCATGGAGCAGCTGGTGGATTCAAACCACCTGAGAGGTGCAGCCAGTCAGTTAGCAGGGCAGCTGCCTACAGTGGAAGCCACCAAGCTCTTTCCTTCTCTGGCGGACCCATTCAAACCACAGGGAGTGGTGGGGGGGAGGGGTCTTAGAACCATCACCAACCAGGAGCTGCATTGTGGCAACCTGAAAGCAGAATAGGTTATGAACAGCAAGTATGAGGCTTCCAGAGTGGGAAAAGAGACGTGCCCAAGGTCCCTATAAGGATGAGAGACTTTTGTTTCTTTATAGTCACACAGTGACAGCTTGCATGGATGGAGCACCCCCTATGTGCCAGTTCTGTGCTAAACACTTTATACACACTCTTAAGAAGAGACCACCACTTTACAGATGAAAAAAAAAAAAATTGAGGCACAGAAGGTTTTACACCATATTTTCAAGATCACCAGTGGGGTGGAAGGAAGACAAAGTGGTGGTCTAACTCCATAGCAGAGGCTCTGGGAGTTTTCTGTCCCAAACTCATGAAAGTTCATAAGGTTCTCCTCAGTGCACCCGTCCACTCCACGGTTGAGTATGTTGAGGCATCATCCTCAACTCTTCCCCAACCAGGACTGTGGAGGAATCAGACCTGACGCACCTGATGCCTTCACCTGTCAGTAGGAATGCAGTAGAAAGCACCCCAGATACCTCGGGAGGGGAGTGGTCAGCTGGGCCCCTCCCCCTTCCCGTGTTCTAACTTGTCCCCGGTCTGAAGGACTGCAGCAGGCAGGGTGGCACCAGGCCCAGGTTGGGTCCCCTTTTACCTGAGACTAGGCCAAGGGAGGGGAAGGGAGGGTCCTGATTTCCCTCCTGCTCACCTGCTGCGGACAATTTGGGGTGTTTGAGAGAGGCAGGCTGTTCGTCCAACAGAGCTGTTGGGGAGAGGAGACATCAGACGATTAAGACCATGAGAAGGCAGCGTATCTGAGTCCCAGGCAGGAAGTGGGAGATTGTCCATCAGTCTAACAAAAAGGCAAAGGAAGATTTGTCCGTCCACAGTCCCCAGTGAGAAGGAAGCAGGTTGGCAGCGGGTGGAAACTGGGCACCTCGATCCTATGGTTTTACGTGCACTCTGGCCTCGCTCTCTCCTTAAAGGGACCGGAGATGCTGAGAGGGAGAAGGCCCTGCTTGTCTGAGGGAACAGGGACCTTCATTCTGCAGGAGATGGGAAGGGAAGACGTGCGTCCTGTGGAGGTAGAGGGGCGGCCTTCTCTCTAACAAAATGACGTCGGTTTGTCCAGACGAAGCGATACTGGTTTGCAAGAAATGTCGAACTGTTTGTCCACAAAGGACAGCTCTTAGGAAGCAGCCCGCCACGCCTGGTCGCGCGGGGCCGCAGCTGGCGCACATCTGTGAGCTGGAAGGGTCCGGGCTACTTCAAGGGTCCAAGGCGCAGGTTCCAACTAGTGGTGACGTCTGGGATTGCTGCTGCCCCGCCGCCCTGCCGACCCCCGGTTGGGGCCCCAGACCCCAATATCTCAACATCCCACCTCCTCGCGCCAGCGCCCACGGGCAGCGAGGGCCCTCCCGAGGGCCACGCCAGGCCCGATGCCACATGCCAGCCAACGGGAGCCTCATCCTCTAGAAACCCGTCTGCAAACCAACGGCGGGTTGGAAGAAGAAATCAGGCGGAGAGGCAGGCAAGGGGGCGGACCCAAACTGAAACAACTCTGGGAATCAAATTTCTCGGTTCTCTGGCCCCACAGTCCCTCGAGGGCAGCAAGCGGTGCCCATCTTACCTGGCGCAGGCCCCTACCTGGCCATGACGCGGTGTGCCTTTCCTTGGGAATGTCCCAGAAGTCTGGGGCACGGAGGCCAGGCCAGCTCCTGCTGCTCGTGATGCCTCGGCCTAGGCCATTCGCAACTCTAAGGCTCAGATGCTCCCAGATGATCCGGTCAGGGAATCTCCACCATCCCGCTTTTGCAATAATCTGAGAGGCCGAAGGGAGAGCGTAAAGGGAGAGCTCTGCCGGTACTCTGGTGGTCCGCTTTGGGCCAGCACCATTAGCCCTGGAGCGCAGGCAGGTCTTGATTTCGTTTGGCTACGACGAAATAGCGGGGAGACAGGAGTCAGGTGCAAGGTGGACTCTGATTGCTGCGGCGGGCGCTTTGGGTTTATTTGCCCACAAGGCTTGGATTTCGTTGTTTGCACCTGTCAAGCGCCTCGGGGCAACGAAACTTAAGGTCTATCTGCAAAGCGAGGAGAGATCACGCACACGTTCATTCCGGAGTATCCAGGGAGCGCTTCTGGGCCAGTAATCCGGAATAAGCCAGAGTTCGATCCTTCCAGTTCCCACGACTTTTGTGGCCCCATCCTAGGCCCGCTAGCCAGGCCGAGGACGCTGGAGAGTAAAGGACGGTTTGCGAGTGATTGAGTTGTGTAGCCAGGAGTGAGAATTGGGTTCAAAGGCTTGACGCGCAGGCAGTGCCTTATCAGAGTAGCTGGGGCCCAAGGGTCCTGAAGACGTGAGCAAGAACCTACTGTCTCCATATTCCATCCGCATGGGGGGAGAAAGCGCTTCTCTGGAATCAGGGCCCTTAACTTTGCAGTCAGCCAGTCCTGTGTCTCTGTCGTTTTCTTCCCGCCACGAACCTGGGCCCTCCTCCCAGGCTCCGGACCTCAGTTGCATGCGCGGAGGGAAAAGTTGGGGGCAAAACCTTGCGTTTTCCAGGCCCCTTCGTGTTTGCCAAAGCACCGCTGGCGCAGGCCGCCACGACGGAGAACGACAGAGGCCTGCGCAATCTTGAAACTTGTTTTTTGGGGGGAGAGCAGAGTGGAGCGCGGTTAGTCGTCCCAGCCGGATGCAGGCCGGTGAGGGACACCCCCTCCCTCTGTCGGGGTTGGCACCGGGGCCGGAGGCCGCGCCAAATCCGCGCAGGGCTGGGAGCTGCGGAAGGGCTGGTGCGCTGTGCCCAGCCGGCCCGGACGGCGCGGAACCTCCTGTGCAGCGGAGGCTCTCAGTTCAAAATGATTTACAGGATGGGGGGGTCCCAGCTGGGTGTCACCAGCCTTGGGGCTCTTGTGGGCCCCAGCTGAGAGTGGAGACGTCACTGGCTTTGGGCAGCTCGGGAAACTGCGGCCGCTGCCTGCTGGGAGGGAAGAGGAAAGGGGGCTTTGGCCCCTGCGTCTGGGGAGACGGGACCCCGGAGCTTTTCGTTGCTCCCGGACATCTTAAGCAAATTTCGAGCATCGTTCTGGGAGCTCCAGAACTCTCCAGGGGCCCTGAGCACCCGCGCGGGGCCCTCTGGCCCAGAGTCCTTGCGGGGCGGGGCTACCGGAGGCCCCGCCCTCCCCGCTCGGCGGCTTTTGGCGGTCCCGGTCCTCCCCCCGCGAACGCCACCAAGGTGCCCGCGACGGGGGTTCCCATTGGCTGCGCCGCGCGTCGCTCAGCGGCCCCGCCTCGCGGGCCCCGGGGTACTAACCCCTCGCGGCGCCCGCGGCGCCTCCACTCGATTCTCGAGGATTTGTTGTGGGGCCGCCGCGGAGTGGGTGGGGCGGCCGCGGGCGCAGCGGGGGCGGGCGGCGGTGGCCGTGGCGGCTCAACCCGCACCAGGATCGAGCGCCCGGGATGCCGGAGTAGAGGACCTGGCCGCGCGGCCGTCGGGGCGGCGAGGCCT